GGCAAAGGGACAAAGGAATGCAAAGGAGCAAAATGAGACGTAGGAGGCAAAAAAGACAAATGACAAATGAGACAAAGGAGGCAAAGTGGACAAATGACACAAAGGAGGCAAAGGAGACAAAGAAGACAAATGACACAAAGGAGGCAAAGGAGACAAAGAAGACAAATGACACAAAGGAGGCAAAGGAGGCAAAGGAGCAAAATGAGACGAAGGAGGCAAAAAAGACAAATGACAAATGAGACAAAGGAGGCAAAGTGGACAAAGACACAAAGGAGGCAGAGGAGACAAGAAGACAAAACGCACAAAAGGAGGCAATGGGGCCGCAGGAGGCGCACGAGGCAAAGGAGCAAGGAGGCAAAGGAGCCGAATGAGTACGAAGGAGGCAAAAAAGACAAATGACAAATGAGACAAAGGAGGCAAAGTGGACAAATGCACAAAGGAGGCAAAGGGACAAAAGAAGACAAATGACACAAAGGAGGCAAAGGAGACAAAGAAGACAAACGAGGCAAAGGAGACAAAGGAGGCAAAGGAGCAAAATGAGACGAAGGAGGCAAAAAAGACAAATGACAAATGAGACAAAGGAGGCAAAGTGGACAAATGACACAAAGGAGGCAAAGGAGACAAAGAAGACAAATGACACAAAGGAGGCAAAGGAGACAAAGAAGACAAACGAGGCAAAGGAGACAAAGGAGGCAAAGGAGCAAAATGAGACGAAGGAGGCAAAGGAGGCAAAATATAGAAACAGTCGCACTCGGCCTCTGCGTGGGCTTCACCGGCTCCACCTCCTTAAGCGTCTCCCGCTCGGCAGTGCTCAGGGCTTCCGTGATGGAACCCATGATGCGGCAGCCATGCGCGTCCAGGGCCCAGCTCCTTACCAGCGCCTGCGAAAGGGAGTGGGTCATGGAGTTCTGGGCGGAGGGGAGAGGTTGAGTTGGAAGGCTTGGCTGATGTGCGAATTCCAGAATACTATTTGAGGCCTTTGTGTCAAACTTTCATGTTTGGGGGGTACGACCTTCAGAATAAACCTTGGAACCTTTGCCGTGAGCAGGGCTTGGCTGATTGTCTGATTAGTGAGAGTTTCTGGGAGTTTCTCTGACTACGTTCGGGCTCATGGGAATCAGCAAATCTCCTAGATACTCGTGCAAGAGTTGCAAGTGGAAAACATCAAACGCCTCGTCGAAGGGGCTGAGGCTGCAGAAGATCAGCTGGATATGCTTCTCCTGGCAATCCTGGGCCACCTGCGATATTACAAATGGGTGCGTCAAAAGTAGCCCTGGCGAGGTTGAGAGGGAACATGAAAGCAATCATCTGGGTAGGGCTTTGCGAACACTTTAAAAAAACCAACAGCCATATGTGATTCCACCCGCGGTCCTTGAACATCATGCTAGAACAATTGGTCCTTTTTTGAGACTGTGTACGTTGGTACGAATGCATTTCGGTCTATTACCACCATTTCGGCCCCCTGCGCCTTCGCTAGGTGTGACATGGCACTGTCGTTGATCCCTTGACAGCTGGCGCAGTCTACGATCAGCCTAAGCGCAGGCGCGAACGCAATGCGACCACTCAAAGGACATGTTTGCCCCCAAGGCCGGCAGAAGTGCCAGCCGTACAGGATGTCTCCTTTCAAAAGCAAAACACAAAAGACTGGACAAAGACTGTGTCCGGCATGAGCCAGGCTCAAGACTTGTTGAACCTCCAGCCATTTGCTGTACAATCATGAACCAATCAACAAGTCTCCGCCATGCTCGGCCTTTTCGATCCCCCCTCGTCACAACAACTGGGCGTCAAACCTCTCAAGCTCCGTGGCAGTGCGCAAGGTCTGCTTCAGGTACACCGCCAAGGAGATGGCCACGCCCTCGAAGACGAAACCGGTGAGGCCCACGATCTGCGCTTCGTAAGCGCGACCGGAAGGCCGAAAAAGCCGCTTTGACAAGTGCAAATTCCCCAAAACAACTCAGCAAGGGGCTTTCAAATCTTAGTTGGTTACCTCATGATGTTCGTCTTTCTCGCTGGTTCACTGATCCTCTTGGCTCCCGCATGAACCATGTCCGATGCCCCTCTTGTCCAGCTCCGACCTCCGTGGTGTCACCGTACTTTTTCAGCACTGCCCGCTGAGTCTGGGAGTAGAGCTGCCCCGAACGGAAGTGGACCCCTCAGAACAGCCGCAAGCAAAGGCAACACAGCTGGGTGGGCCCAAGCTGCAAGGTATGTCAGTGGGGGGGCTGGAGGGGCAGCGCCGCAACTGTCAAAACTAGTGCGTGCTGGCGCTGGCTGCAGCGCCGCTGTGCTCAAACATGTCTGACAGGGCGACGTTTGAAGATGCCATCTGAGGCGCCAGACACATGGTACTTCAGAACCTCCAGCTTGGAGAAGCGCATGATCAGGGAGATCAGCGCCAAGACCACCCCCAGCAAGACCCCCTTGAAAGTGTCGCTCAGCAGGCTCCTTGAAAATGTTGATGTCGTTGGTGAAACCAACCAAACCAAAAACAAGCAAAGGCCTCTCTCACAGCAAAAGGCACGGGCTCAGCTTTTTTGATCTTGTTCTGATAAACTTGACAAGCAAACAAAACAAAACAAAATGAAACAAAACAAAGCAAGCAAGCAAGCAAATAAACAAACAAACAAACAAACAAACAAACAAACAAACAAACACAGACAGACAGACAGACAGACAGACAGACAGACAGAGACAGACAGACAGACAGACAGACAGACAGACAGACAGACAGACAGACAGACAGACAGACAGACAGACAGACAGACAGACAGACAGACAGACAGACAGACAGACAGACAGACAGACAGACAGACAGACAGACAGACAGACAGACAGACAGACAGACAGACAGACAGAGACAGAGACAGAGACAGAGACAGAGACAGAGACAGAGACAGAGACAGAGACAGAGACAGACAGGCAGGCAGGCAGGCAGGCAGGCAGACAGACAGACAGACAGACAGACAGACAGACAGACAGACAGACATACAGACAGGACAGACAGGACAGACAGACACACAAACAAACAAACAAACAAACAAACAAACAGAAAAACAGACAATCAAACAAACACACAAACAGCCAAACAAACAGACAAACAGACAAACAGACAAACAGACAAACAGACAAACAGACAAACAAACAAACAAACAAACAAACAAACAAACAAACAAACAGACAGACAGACAGACAAACAAACAAACAACTTGACTCTTGCCCTCTTAGGCAAGGCAATGCACCGCAGCGCTCGCATCCTGTGACTCCTCTGAACCAGTGCAACTCGCAACTGTTGCTGGGGGGAAATTCGACACACGTGTCTCGCCGCGCAGTTCTGAGGCAAAACCACTTATCTGACCTAGTGAAAGGCCAAAAATGACTATTTCTAGGTCCTAATCGGGATACACGAGCCGTAATCAACAACCAATGGCCCTTTTTTGAAGGGGAAGCATTTGGACGTCCAACTTGTTTGGACAGATGTTACAGAATCCCATGTTTAGAGCAGGCCGCTCCCCCTTGCCAGGGCGCGTCGCCACCATGGCCCAGATCACAACCATGCCACTCCATTGCACACGGCCAGTCACCTGCCAGCCCCAGTCCCATAGCATGCCGCCGCCCATCTGCATCAGCAGGCCTGGCCGCGGCAATGGGGCCGGCTGTCTCAAAATGAAAATGGGAGAACCTCCTTCTCAGTGTTCCTTTTGGTTGGTGAAACCAACCCTCAAATGGGTACCCTCAAAACAAGAAGGATGCCCCGCAAACATGCCTCAACAAAGAAGCCAGCCTTCGGCCTGGACATTGACTCCACCCTCAAAGCACCCATGACGAATCTTCAACAGGTCCGATTTTTAGGCGACTGATCCCGTCCCAGCTCCTGAACGGTTGCCAAATACAGAAACCGGGGAACGATAGGTTGCTCTTCCATGCTGTTCTCGTTTCATGTCAAACTCTTTCCTTGAAGGCTCCCTGTTGTCAAGGTTGCAATCGACAGCAGCTACAAGTATGTTCGAATGCCACATCATCTCAATGTCGCATGTTTGCAGTTGAGCCAGCCCAATGTGGTAAGCTTCCCCGAGAGCTTGCTCCATGATTGCTCATCAACATTATTACTTCCGCTGCTTTTACTGAATCCTGAATCCTGGAGCTATCAGTGCACGGATGGAGTGTTGTTCCCCAGAGTATTGAACCCTAGAGCTTTGTATTTGCCTCTGCCCGCCCATCTTCGCGCGGCTTTCTTGCCGCAAGCCTGCCAGAAGGAAGCGCGGCAGGTAGTCCACCAGCGGAAAGCCAGAGCCCCACATGCCTCGGGTATGAAGCACGGATTGGGACTGCACCCCAAGAGTCACCCGGCTCCTTGTCACACCTAGCCTTGCAAGCAAGCCAACAAGAAGCCACCAGAAAATGGCCCCGCGGTTCGACCGGCGAACCTCACACTGACTTGACAGGCAACATTCTGCGGCTCAACAATCTCTCTGAAAAAACATCTTCCAAACAAAGGCTCCTTTCCAATGAACAGCCACATGTAGAAGAATTGACTCAGGAAAGTTTAGCGTTAGGAAAGTTCTGGGTTGTCATTTATAACCCCAGGATTCAACATGGAACCACCAAGGCCTAAGAAGCCCCTTAAAGGAAATCCATAAGGCTTTTTGTTCTGGCTCCATATTAAATCTCCGGAGAGCGTGTTCGCAGAGTTTTTTTCTCTTGCAGCTGGTGAGTCCCGCCTCGAGAAAGAATACTAATGACTTGCAAACAATATCTTGCTTTTCTAGGAATATGCAAAGGGGCGATCGCGAAGGTAGTCCCGCACGTCAGATACCTTTGCCTTACACATCTCGCACAGGTACTCCTTAACGTGCTTCAATAGAGGACCTTTCTGCTCCTACTCCACGAAACGGTTTGACCTGGACCAAGTTCCCATGATCTTCTTTGCTCTGCATCTCCTCTGAGCGGTCACAAGTGATGTAGATTGTGCTTCTAGCTGAGCAAGGTCTCCCAGAACGTTCTGTCTCAGAAAAAATGCGAATCAAGCTTTTTGTATGCAGTGGCCAGCCAGCTCTATCAGTGCGAGAATCATCTTTCTCGATAAACTCATCGTCAAAATTCGAAACTTTGTGTCCGAGAACTGACTTCATCACTGGCGCTTCGTCCTCTGGCTTCCACTAGTTTGCTGTTGCTCCAGCGAGCAAGTCACCAACGACCTTTACAGCGTGGTCTTTCCACAATGGAGTGTAGAATCCCAACATGCATTCGCCATCTTGCTGCTTCTTGAGGAGCATTTGAAGCAGTTCCGTGGCATGAGGCCTCGTCGTTCTCACTGTTGGCTCTCCATCAGACCATGTGTAATGTAGAAGTGTAAATTGTAGATCAAGTAAAATCAGGAAACATGCTATTTGCTGCTCTTCATGGTCTACCAAGCTTGGCTGCTCTTCAGCCAAAGAGCTTGGATGTTCACTGAAGACGACGCTTCGGCCAGTTTCTACTCGTTTCCGCATCCATTCAGTAAGCGAGCTGCGACTCCTTCCACACTCTTTCCATGGGCGGCAGCCTTCGAATACCTGTAATACCATCGAATGTCGTCACGTTCTGCCTCTCGTGTAAGGGAGCCCTCAATGACAAACACCACGAATTCATCTTCGCGACAATCAGTGTGAGCAACATGCAGTTCAAAGCCGTTCTCCTTCATGTACTTCTTCACGTCACTCAACTCAGGGTGCTCTCTCGAGTCAGCACTCCATTTCGTAATCATTGAAGCCAGCTCAGGAAGATCCGGCTCGGACTGGAACGCCTGGAACGACCTTGTTTCCGTGCAAGCGCAGCATACCCGAGTGACTTGAGAAGGACGAAGCAAGTGCGGCAGATGTTCCTTCATCAAGCTGCAGCACGATGCGAAGCCATGCATGACTGCAACACTACAAATACTGAGCCCTGTCCAAGCAGGGATCTAATGCTGCATCAGATTGCAAAGACTAGCCAAACAAATTAAGCATGACGTTGCTTTTCAGCCTGAATCAAACGCAGGGCAGGTTAAAGCCAGAATGGCTACTAGTCGCTGGAATGCTGTGGTTGTTGCAATCCTGTGTGACCAAGAGACGCATCGGTGCAGAGCAAAGTGTGCTAGTTGCTTCATTTGTATTAACGTGAAACCCGAAACAGTTACATACAGGGTTCAGAGTCAGGAATTTAGCAAATGCATGTTGTGTGTTTGTGTTGCTTGTGTCTGCGGCCGTCAAGGCCCCTTTTACAGAAATGGCCTCCCTCAAACAGAACCTACATAGATCATGTACACAAGCAAGCAAGCAAGCAAGCAAGCAAGCAAGCAAGCAAGCAAGCAAGCAAGCAAGCCAGCAAGCAAGCAAGCAAGCAGGCAAGTCAGCAAGCATGCAGGCAAGCAAGGCAAGGCAGCAAGCAAGCATGCAAACAAGCAAGGCAAGGCAGCAAGCAAGCATACAAGCAAGCAAGGCAAAGCAATGCAAAGCAAGCAAGCGAGCGAGCGAGCCAACCAGCAAGCAAGCCAGCCACCGTCCCCCCACCCAGCAACCAACCAACCCATCAACCAGCAACCAACCAACCCATCAACCAGCAACCAACCGAACAAACAAACAAACAAACAAAGACGCAGAGACACAGGGGCATCACAAAGCCAACAAAACACACAAACAAGCAAACAGGCAGGCAGACAGGCAGACAGGCAAACACCCAACCCACCAACTTTTTTGCATGTGCCTGCTCTATGGAAGGGGGTCGATTTGTCCCAATGACAATAGTCCTATTCCAACAGCCATAACTCACATTTGCATGTTCGGTGAAAGGCAAAGATGACCATACTTCATATACGGCTGAATCCGTCACCGAAGAAGGACTGCCGGGTTTATTGCAATCAAGTCCATCTGAGCCATTGGGGTCAAAGGATTCAGTGCGCCAACTCTTAGTCTTAGCCCACATGCTGTGGCTCAACCGATTGGCTGCTTCGTTGAACAGCAGTGTCCACTTCCCTCCCCGCATCCCCTTCCCTCACTTCGCTGAGCTTCAGAGGTGAAGGAGCGACACAATCTGCGCAGTGCGCTTGGCTGCCACCCTGTCCCCACGGACGCCCTCCTCAACAAGGTTTCAACGCGTCACATGTTTCAACCACTGCGCAAATGAAGTTGGAGGCAGGGTGGGGTCTTGCGCTACCTCGCGCTTGGAACAAACCTCCAAACAGATCTGCACGCTGTCCTTTGTGAGGTCCGTCATGGCCGAGGTGGCGTTCATGGGCACGCCCCCCACCGCTGCCCCTGCCAGGGTCGCCAGGCCTAGCCACTGCATCTCCTGCCAGTCCGTATAGCTCACCCAAGTGGTGCGCAAATTGATTGGACTAACTGGCTTGACGGGCTGTCCCCTGAAATCGGGAATAAGATCATTCAGCTTCGAAATTAAGGTGCTTTCCTCATAGCTTGCAGGCTGTTGGTTTCAGCCTGAAATCACCCGAGTCAGGAAGGCAACAGGAACACTCACACCTCTCAGGATAGCATGTGCTAGAAACTGAAATGAGTGCACAGAATGTCCTGGTCCACACTGTAAGGCTCGTCAGCGTACGCCTTGGCTCAAATCTTGCATGCTGCGCGCTTGATTTTGGAGTTTGCCTGCCAAGAGGTTAAGTTAAGTGCTTGATTTCCCCGTGGAAGAGTGCACAGAACACTATTCAGTGGGAGTTGCTGTCACAGCATTTGGGAGAAAACGCACCACGCTCTGCAAAGTGCCATGTGCACGGAACAAAGGTATTACGTTGCTGCCCAGGTGTCCGACTCTATGGCTATGATTGTCAACGCTCGCATAATGCTGGGCACTACCAGCAGCAAAAGAGTCTCAAGACCTGGCGTGATCGACCAGATCTCCGTCAACAAGCCGTGAAAGCTCTCGACGTTCCGAAAGTTCAGGAATGACCTCCAGCACAGCAGGGGCCACTACAAAGCAGCTCTGCACCAAGGAACTGCTGCTGCAACCAAACGCACAATAACATGTTCATCCTGTGTAGAGCTCCAGTGTTGACACTGCGCCGCTGGTGCACTCTCATTCTTTGCAGATCGCTTTGCTTGTGAACAACGTTGCGCTTCGTCATCATGTCGGGTTGCTGCTAGTTGACAATTCGACTTCGCGTGTGTGTTCTGGTTCTTGAGCCCTGAGGATGTTGCTTTTCCTGCCAAAATGAGACTCCCATCCAAATGTGTCAACCCTAAGATAGTCGACTACGCTTTGTAAATGCAACTGTGGCGTGAAAGCAGCGCACCTTTGGATGCCTGGTGATTGTTGAATCCGAATCGCATGTATTTCTTCACGTGTGTTCGCGTGTGTGTTTCTGTTTGTGTGTGTGTGTGTGCGTTTGTTCGTGTTTGTGTGTGTGTGTATGTGTGTGCGTGTTTGTGTGTGGTTGTGTGTGCGTTTGTTTGTGTTTGTGTGTGTGTGTGGGTGTTTGTGTGGTTGTGTGTGTGGTTGTGTGTGTGGTTGTGTGTGTGGTTGTGTGTGTGTGGGTGTTTGTGTGGTTGTGTGTGTGGTTGTGTGTGGTTGTGTGTGTGCTTCTGTGTTTCCGTGTGTTTGTGTGTGTGGGTGGCTTACTCAAATACATGCCATTCTCAACGCCACATTGGAGGTAGGCTAGAGCTTTGCTACATGTTGCAAGACTGGAGGTGCTTCTGTCAACAGAACTCGCACCTTTGCATATCCAATGATGATCATTATCAGGGAAGGCTAAGCAGCCCGGACTGATTGCAATTGGCCTCGCCTCACGCCTGAGGTTCCCGGTTGGAAAACTTCGCAGAGATGCTTTTTAGCAACTGCAGTCGCAAAGATCCAGAGCCCTATCAAATCTCAGAAGCTGACATGTACATACAGAATCCAAACAAAGTCTCAACAGGCACCAGCCAGCTCGATCCCACATCCCTAGGTAGCGGTGTCGCGCGGGGACCAAAAACACAGGTGGCTTTCAAGGAAACTATGTATCCTGCTAGATCCGGAAAGCCCCACTGTTTGAAATGCAAATTTGGATACCTTCAGATCCGTAAAGGCTCCCTTTCCAACCACCAGCTAGCCCCTAGTTAGTGCTTTGGTTCAGAGGCTAGGGGCGATTTCCCGTTTAACATAGCCTCAACAAGCACCGGGGACTTTCAAGGAGACCCCGCATCCTGGAAAAACAAGAACCAGGACAAGGACAAAAAGGAAAGGCAAAAAGGAACAACAACCACCACCACCACCACCACCACCACCACCACCAACAACAACAACAACAACACCAACAACACCAACAACCAACAACCAACAACCAACAACCAACAACCAACAACCAACAACCCACAACCCACAACCCACAACCCACAACCAAAACCCAACAACCAACAACCAACAACCAACAACCAACAACCAACAAACAGCAAACAGCAAACAACAAACAACAAACAACAAGCAAGCCGGCAAGCAAACAAGCCAACAAACAAAACAAACAAGCAGGCAAACAAACAAACAAACAAACAACAAACAATAAACAACCAACAACCAACAACAAACAACAAACAACAAAAAACAAACAACAACAACAAAAACAAAAACGAAACAAACAACAAACAACAAACAACAAGCAACAAGCGACAAGCGACAAGCAACAAGCAAGCAAGCAACAAACAACAAACGACCAGCAACAAACAACAAACAACAAACAACAAGCAACAAACAACAAACAACAAACAATCAAGCAAGCAAACAAGCAAACAAGCAAACAAGCAAACAAACAAACAAACAAACAAACAAACAAACAACAAACAACAAAAAACAAACAACAAAAAACAAACAACAAAAAACAAACGACAAACAAGCAAGCAAGCAAGCAAACAAACACACAAACAAACAAACAAACAAACAAACAAACAAACAACAAACAACAAGAAACAAACAACAACAAACAAATACAAACAACAAACAACAAGCAACAAACAAGCAAGCAATCAAACAAGCAAACAAGCAAACAAGCAAACAAGCAAACAAGCAAACAAGCAAACAAACAACAAACAAACAAACAACAAACAAGCAAAAAACAACAAACAACAAACAACAAACAACAAACAACAAAAAACAAGCGACAAACGACAAACGACAAACAAGCAAACAAGCAAGCAAGCAAGCAAACAAGCAAGCAAACAAACAAGCAAACAAACAACAAACAACAAACATCAAAATACAAACAACAAACAACAAACAGCAAACAACAAGAAACAAACAACAAAAAAAACAACAAAAACAAACAACAAACAACAAACAAGCAACAAGCAAAACAAGCATTTGTTGGCAGCTGAGGAGCTTTTGCAGAAGCTTCGTCGCGCGCTACAACGCCTCTCTGCTCTCCGTGCTTCGTGGGACGAACGTGTTGCATTCTTCCAATGGATCATGCTGGGCGTTGTCGGTTACGTTCCCTTAGTTGGCCTTCCGCAGCCGTCCGATCTGCACGCAGTGGATGCGGCATTCCATAACCTCGTTCTGGCTGGAATGGGTGTGCGTTCTACTGTGGAACGCATGAGCCTCCTTGCGGCCAAGTCGTGCGGAGGAATGCAACTCCCCTCAGTGGTTGAAAGTATCCTTGCCGCTGCTGGTGCGGATCTCCTCCTGCTGCTATCAGGAAGGTCAGAAGCCTCGGTGCTTGCGCGTGATGCCTTGCGCGATGCTCTCAGTGCTCCGCCTGTCGAGGCTGAAGCGCTTGGTGGTCTCGTCGCGCTGGCCCTCCGCCTTCTTGCTGCATACGGTTTCCATGTGTGTGTTCAGCCGGACCGCTTCACAGCGCGGGTCCTGAACGCATTGCCACGCCCCTCCTCCCAACCTTTAGTTGGTTCCTTCCGGCCCGTGTTGGCAAGGCCTTCTCTTATGCTGGCTCGCGTTGGATTTGTTGCCAACTCGTTGCGGCGGATCTTGTGGCTGAAGGTCGCCCTCGATCCACTTGGTCGGATCTTGCCCTGTGGAGTCACGTTCTTCCTGCCGCCTTTCCTTTCTCCCCAGCAGAGCGCTCTCTTGCAGTGGCTCAGGCATTGGCAGAAAGCCAGCGGGATTGGCGCGTTGAGTGTGCTCTGTTCCGTCCTGGCGTTGCTGCGCCACCTCTACCTGAACCAGGCAGGAAGAGTCGCAGATGCAGCTGGGCAGCCTGCAGTACCCGCACAATCCTATGAAGGGAGCCTCGGAGCACTTCCACTTCCTCTCGGTCCTTGCGGGGACCTACGACGACACGGTGCGCAACATCGACATCGACCGCGCGGGCTACCTGCGCCACAGCTTCATCGCGGGCTTCCCGACCGAGCGCGTGCCCAAGATGCCCCTGAGCGGTGTCAGCACCCGTTCGGGCGACCTGGCTCAGTTCACTTTCAAGGCGCTCGACGGCACGATGACGGACGTGTTCATCCACCTGATAGCCTATCAGCTGGTGACTTTGCTCTCTGGCACTGGAGTCTCTGTGCTGGACTAGCAAGGATCCATAGCTCAATCGGAAGAGGCGCTGCAGCTCTGAAGCTTGGAGACCGCGGGCTAGATTCCACCCGGGCGCGGATCATTTTTTTACTAGGCGAGTGCCTTTGGGAATTCTTTTTCTCCCTCGACCCGAGACGGATCTTTCACTCGGGAATAAGAAATTCCATGGTCCGAGACGGATCCTCTCCGAGACGGATCTTTCCGCCTCCAGACCAGTGAGCGCCTCTCCTGGGAATAAGAAATTCCATGGTCCGAGACGGATCATCTCCAAGACGGATCTTTCCGCCTCCAGACCAGTGAGCGCCTCTCCTGGGAATAAGAAATTGACGGATCTTTCCGCCTCCAGACCAGTGACCGTGTCTCCTGGGCATAAGAAATTCCCCGAGACGGATCTTTCCGCCTCCAGACCAGTGACCGCCTCTCCTGGGAAGAAGGAATTCCATGCTCTGAGACGGATCTTTCCGCCTCCAGACCAGCGCCTCTCCTGGGAATAAGAAATTCCCCGAGACGGATCTTTCCGCCTCCAGACCAGTGAGCGCCTCTTGTGGGAATAAGAAATTCCCCGAGACGGATCTTTCCGCCTCCAGACCAGTGAGCGCCTCTCCTGGGAATAAGAAATTCTTCGAGACGGATCTTTCCGCCTCCAGACCAGTGAGCGCCTCTCCTGAGAATAAGAAATTCCATAGTCTGAGACGGATCATCTCCGAGACGGATCTTTCCGCCTCCAGACCAGTGAGCGCCTCTCCTGGGAATAAGAAATTCCATGGTCCAAGACGGATCATCTCCGAGACGGATCTTTCCGCCTCCAGACCAGTGACCGCCTCTCCTGGGAATAAGAAATTCCATGGTCCGAGACGGATCATCTCCAAAAGGATCATCTCCGAGACGGATCTTTCCGCCTCCAGACCAGTGAGCGCCTCTCCTGGGAATAAGAAATTCCCCGAGACGGATCTTTCCGCCTCCAGACCAGTGAGCGCCTTTCCTGAGAGTACGAAATTCCATGCTCTGAGACGGACCATCTCCGAGACGGATCTTTCCACCTCCAGCCCAGTGAGCGCCTCCCCTTGGGAAAGTATTTCCCCAGGCCCGAGACGGTTCTTTCCGCCTCCAGCCCGGTGTTTTGCGCCTCAGCGTAACCTTTTTGCTTGCAAAGCCCATTTCCAGCTAATTTCGACGTTTTTCCGGAAATGCCCGTTGTACGCACACGCTCAGGTGGCCTGGTTTTTGACATTATTTTGCTTGATTTTCGCATGACATGGTTTTGCATGGATTTTGACATGATTTTGCTTGATTTTCGCATGACATGGTCTGGCATGGATTTTGACATGATTTTCCCATGACATGGTTTTACATGCTTGGAATCGGCATGCGCTTCATCCCCCAACACGTCCCCCCTGAGTTTTTTCCTGTCAGGCTGTCGTATGTGTCAGGTCCTGGAGAACTTCGTG